GGTTAGTCTGAAGTTGTCCAAGGAGTGCATCCTGCCGTTTATCGTATTCCTCACTTTGTTTGGTTAAATTTTTAACAACAGGTTTTTGGAACTCTTCAACAAACTCCTCCTGCTGTTGCTTGCCGATCCTTTTTTCCAGTTGACGTTGCTTGAGAATTTCTCGATTTTTGAGAAAGGTGTCAATGACTTCCTTCCGATGTTCAGGATTTTCTACTTGAGTAAAATGTGGCATGCTTATCTACCAATATCTTTTTTTCTTCTCACTTCTCCAAGAACCTATCAAATCCACATCGGTACATCTCTGGCTGATATGTTGCTGTTTTATCAAGCATGAAAAATGAATGTGGTTTCTCTGTTGCCATTTCATAGGCTTCCGCAAACTCGGTTTTCTTAAGATTTTTGGAGTGATCATGTGCTAGACATTGGACATCTCTGTTGTCTAAGCCCTTGTACAGGAGGAAGCACTTGGTATTCCTCCGGATATATTTCGGTACATCATAGTATGATTGACAAAGATAAATACAGTTACATTTCTTGTTCCGAGAAAGACTGAAGTATTCCATCACCTTTGTCATGTTCTTTTTGTCAATCTTGATGTCATCAAAAATTATCACCTTATTTTCCTGATCATCGAGATCCTCCACTGGACAAACCTTGTCTGGTTGTTCAATGATAAGTTTACCAGGAGATATTCCATTGTAAAACCCATCAAGAAGTTGATATTTTGGTTGTTGAGGATTTATTGTGTAAAGAATGACCTTATCACAGTTCAACCATGATTGTAGAAGCATATTACACAGGGTGTTTGTCTTCCCACATCCCGTTTGTCCAATCATCATGTAGTGACAATCAGGAAGCAAGTAGTGATGCTTTGTTGGTTTCTCCTTGTGCTCATCAAAGTTGATCATTTCCATGGTTTATACCTATAAAGGATCATTTTTATTGTTCCAACACTCTCAAGAAAGAATATATAGATAGATAAGGAAGATGAGTTCAAAATTTGGAACAGCCTTGGAAGCTAATTCGATCAATCTTGATTCCTATGCCAAAAAAAGGGAGTTATTTGTCATCAGTGAAGAAAAGCTGGATAAAGCTGGTGGAGATGTGGAGGGACATATTGACATGAACTATCATAGCATCTGCTTTCTTGGTTATGATGGAATAAGTACCACTTGTGCGGCACCAACTGGGTGGGTTACAAGTGAGATAGGAAAAGTGGATACTTCATTGAGGAAGCATGTTGATGATGATGAAACACGACTGAAGGTGAGTGGCACACTGAAAATGAAAGGAAATCTTGACATGGGTGGAATGGAAATTGTAAATGTGAAGCAACCATCAAGAAGTACATCTGTGGTAACATCAGAATATCTCAACACAACACAAAGTCGGACTCTCTGGACTAGTGGGCTCAACCAGATGAAAGGAAATCTTAACATGGGGTTGAAACACATCATCAATCTCCGAGACTCAACAGAGGATGACTCAGCAACAACAAAGGAGTATGTTGACAGAAAGGATGGAAAGGTGAAAGTCAAAAAAATGAAGAATATCATCCCGAGCTCATCAACCACTCCACCAGAAGCCACACTTCATGTCTTTCCTATTTACAAAAGTCCAACCAACAAACTGATTGTCATTGAGGATCTCTTCATAGTCGGTCAAGAAACAAGTGGTAGCAGAAGACGTTTTCATCTATCATATCGAGATGTGTTGGGAGAAAAAGCTGTAATCCGATACATTACTGAACATGATATAACAACGGCATATCTGACCTTCATCAACAACACATTGACATTACCAACTGTGAGTGGATACAATCTCATTGATGAATGGGAGCTGGTTTATCATGAGTACTGAAAATCTTAACTATATGTAGATAAAAAAAATGGAAATACCTCATTTGTTAATACTGTTGACCATGCTACCATTTACTCTTGGTTGTATTCTTGATCCGTTGGATAAGGATGGACTCTGTTTGACAACGAAACCTCCTACTGTCATCCAAAGTGAAAGACCAACTCCGGTTGACATCCCTAGTGAAACATCACCACCAACAGACCATATCACTACACAACCCCCTTACGATCAGACGAAACCAGTAAACGGGGATAACCCTCATTTGACAGACCCCAATCTTTATCTTTTATCTCTGATTGTTATTCCTATAGTTGGTGCTGTTGTATATCTCATAAAACGTTCCAGCTGTTCGATGAGTGTTGACCCTGAAAATGATCCAAGAAATTTACAACATCAGCCTAGGTTAGATTTTAATCCGATGCCATTACCAGATGTGCTTGGTACGATCAATCTACCAAAATCACCTTCAACCTTTGATGTAACTAGTATAGTCTGATGGGGAGAAAGAAAACGGTTTATGATATAGTAAGAATGAACAAATTTATGATCTTGATAGGAATTGCTTTTCTAGCTCATTGTGTCAGAGTGAATGGGTTGGTAATAAACAAATGTTGGGAAGAAAATTCATTCTGGATTTGTGTTCCGCTTACACATCTTAGTCCACCTATTAATGTACCAGCAGCATCTGTACCACCGACAACACCGACACCACCGACAACACCGACACCACCGACAACACCGATACCACCGACAACACCGACAACATCGGGAATTACATCGGGAATTACATCGGGAACATCGGGATTTACACCGACAACACCGACAACATCGGGAATTACATCGGGAACATCGGGATTTACACCGACAACACCGACAACATCGGGAATTACATCGGGAATTACATCGGGAACATCGGGATTTACACCGACACCATCGGGAATTACATCGGGAACATCGGGAATTACATCGGGAACACCGGGAAATACATCGGGAATTACATCGGGAACATCGGGAACATCGGGAACATCGGGAAATACATCGGGAAAATCAAACAACTTGATATACCTCCTTTTCCTTCTTCTTCTCATCCCCATTGCTGCTGTTGGATTTCATAGACAAATAAAAAAAAATATCATAGAAAGAAGGATGAGAACCTTCTTACTCACGAAACCACCCACCTCATGTAAAGATGATCAGGTGAAAAATAAGCCTTACATACCCACAAAAGAAACCCTTGCTGAGGTGAGAGCAGCACTCAACTCAGGATGGAAACCCCCTATTACAAAAAAAGCTGATGAAAAACAAGAAAAGATATATGAGGAAATGAACCATCCCTTAGCAAAACTAAAACAGGGGGCAATTGAGTATGATGAAAAGATAAATGCGGAATTGATCCATCCCTTAGCAAAACTAAAACAGGAAACAGTTGAGTATGCTGAAAAGATAACACGAGAGCTAGAAGTTGGGAAATATATTGTTGATGACGAGATGGAAAATGGGTATGAGTTACCGCTTGATGGTGGTGAATCCTCATCCAAAGCTGAATCACCCGAAGTTGGCTCAGAAACCGACCCCACATCAGTCCTCGAAGTGAGCCAAGATGGGGTAAGTGAAAAAGCTCAAGTTGGCTCACTTTCGATTTTCTCGGAGACAGCAAGTTGACTCACTTTTCTGGAACGGGGTTGAGCCAACATGGGATCAGTGGTTAGAGTGGTAAAATTAGTGCTATAGTAGTATAGGGGGAGGGGGAGACTTTGGAGGGAGGCCCGAAGGGCCGATCGACAAAGTCGATTTTGGCTCACCTGGAAGGTGAGCCAGAACCCCCTCCCCCTATACTACTGACTTCAACACTAAAAGAAAGTTATTAGAAGCTGTTTTCATCCGTAAACACAATCCTACTCTATGCATTCAGAAAGAAAATGTCACAAAACTGAGACTCTTCACCTAGCATTCACACACGTATTCATTTGCATACACCTACATGTACACCTCAGAGTCACAGTTCCTCACTCTATCACATTCACCTGCTTCCACGCCTTCATTTCACTCACCTTTTGTAGTAGCTCACACCGTTGGAACACTCTCACATCTTTTCTTCTAATTTCTTTCGTCTTCTCTCCCACTTAAGTTTTTTTTCACCTCACCTTGTATACTTCCCACTATCCTATAGACGTATACGTAGTTTGTTTCTCCGCATAGCCTCTATTGTGAGACAAATTTTCCCTGATGATAGTCTCAAGAAAATCGATTAGGAACATCAATTTTGATACATGTATTCTCATTGATCATTTTTGTAATGTCCGCTTCACTTATACTATTTATCGCCTTAATAAAGTTATTGTCTCCTCGTCGCCTATTCAAAAGAAAGTTAGTTCAGTATAATTTATTTCAAGGATTGCCCAGAGGCCATGATTTAGGCCTATCCGGCGAGGGGTCTCCATTTCTGTACAGTTAGGATGAGAATGTGAGAATGCAAAGTGGGCAGAGAAGGAGAAATAACACAAACAGGGACAAATGGGAAGGAATGGGGCATTTCATGATCACTGAATTGAGAAGCTCAGCGAATCGTGTTGAGCGTGAATCACCCACTTCAAGGCTTCAATTCAGTGTTCAAAGTTCACCATCTTCTGTAAAACCACTTCAGATCTCCAGCTTGTCCATGATCCAGGCCGCTTAGCAAGCTCAACGATCTCGATCCACATGTCATGCCATCCCTCGCCATCATTTCCACTGAAAACACCCCATTGTCATTGGTTCATCCGACTCACGACACAGCGATGTGCATGCATGATACTATATTGATAGTTATACTGCTACAACTTAGTACAAGATTAGTACAACAGAATAATAATATTATCATGTGGAAAAGTGTGAAAATGTGAGTCTGCACTTTATAAAACTTTGACTGATGTCAGGCTAGCTTCGCCTCCGCGGAATGGGCGCGGATCCGCGATCTCATCCGCGATCCGCCACATCGCGCAGTCATCATGGTCATGATAATTGCATGCTTAGACCTAGCCCTTATGGCTTAGGGTTTGGCGGAGGCCGATGCGGCGCAGCACATACACCGACCGTCCATGCTTTTTCGACCGTCAATGCATCCAAAGACCATGAAGACAGTCTTTACTTGCCAGATCGATGCACCACACAAATTTATTTTCAGTTGTGACAGGCTTGGGCCGGACTACACGTTCGCGCAAACGTAAGCAGACCAACCTTCGTCAGCTGATAGATTCAATCCTGTTTTGGCCAGGAAAACGCTCTACTCCCTTGCTATCTTTTATCCCACGCGTACTCCTAGTCCTTTCGTACTGGTTTTCATAGTCCTCGGTTTCACAGTCTTTGGTCTGGACCGTTTGGTCTTCATTGCAATTATTTATTGTGTAGCGACTGCATGCGATGGCAACAAGCGCTGACGAGTTATCAAGTTTCACATCGTAACTATGTAGCTGTTTCATGTTTGGTGATATGGCGATGAATTTTTATGTTTCTCAAGAAGAAGAGTCAAAAGATAGGTCTTGGCAGCCTGTAAATTGTGGTGTCCGTGTATGTCCGGTGCGTCATGGAGGACGAGAAACCGGTATCGGACACCAGTGCTAGTGCGAGCGTTCAGCCGAGTGGCACTCAGTCATCCGGCACAACCGGCCTGACGGTGAATGAATGTCACGATGCAGCAGTTCGTCAGCCTAGTCCTGTTCCCAGAGAGCGCAGGCCGCGCGCCCCAGTAGTCAGCCGTCGACAGTCGTCATCTGCGGGTAGCGTGGTGTCTGCTGTTGTGCCTCGTCGCCGCAGCACGATCGGAAAGCCATCGGAACGGTCTCCCCGAGACGCTGGTCCCACACCTGCATCGCGGGCCAGTAGAATACCAGTGCCTGCAACACCTGAGAAGACCAGGGAATCGATGAAATCGGTGGAGTGTAACGACGGGAAACATGATCCACTGCAAACGACATCCACTCCTGGAAACGCTAGCGACATACACCACGACCAAACTTCTGAAAGTCCGGATACACCAGGTGTTGCTGAGGGGGTTACTAGTTCATCACCCGGCGTTGTTGTGCGAGCACGTTCGCAGGTATCGTCGTCACCGGCACGTACGGTGTCGGAGATCACGAGTAATGCCCGGACGCCGGGTAGTCCCGTACGCAGCAGCGTGCCCGCCGCCAGAGCGGATGCCAGCTCGTCGTCGGCATGTGACCGATCGCACACGCTGAGCATGTCGCGGCGCACCTCCAAACCGCCGCCACCGCCCAAGGACAAAGCACGGCTGTCGGTACTGGTGGAAAACAGCAAGAGTCGCACCCCGACCGGCAGTCCATTCAATGTCCGCCGGCCAGCGCCAGCGCATAGCAGTGACAAACAGGGCACACCGATCGGCAAGTGTAATGGCGACTCAACCCAGACACCGGAGCAGAAGCCTCAGAACCGTGACACCGCTGATCAGGTACCATCAAAGTCGCCGCCCGGGCAGTCGAAACCGCTATCCAGACAGAGGACGGGATCCGGAAGCGTGCCGAAACGCAAGGCGCCCGTCGTGGTGCCGAAGGCAAAGCCCACTCCCGCAGCAGCCAGCGGAGTGAATCGCAACTCGTTTAGTAAGACAGTTGAGATGCAGCCACGTCGACAATCGCTCAAGTTGGACGACAAACTCAAGAAGTCCGATGCACTTAGTGAAAATGAGTCAAAACCGGAGGTTCAATCAGCCGTCACACCAGAAGGTGTTGCATCACAACAGAGCACTGGCCATTCAGAAACAATAACTACCAGTAGGTCAATTGCGTTACATTCGTCATCGCCGAATCAGGACAAATCCCGAGCCAGTCCTCCCAGTAAGGAGTTTGCCAGACCAAGAGCATCTGGTGCCACTCCACTAAAGCCACCACCAAAGGTCAGAACGAAGCCAAAGCCGGCCGTAGCTGCCAAGTCCAGTCCGATACAAGGTTCACCGTCCCCGAATCTACGTCCGTCCTCGTTGGCACAATCTCAAAATCGACTATCAACGCCAGGCAAGCCGGTAAGCCAGGGCATTACTGGCATGCGGTAAACAGGGTCATTTGTACTATGACATATAGTACTGCCGGGTGCCGAAGAGCTGGGAGGGAGGGGGGGGGGGGGGGTCAGCCTCCTAGGCCGTTCGTATTTTCATGTACAGTGCTGCTCAATGAAATCCAGTCGCGTCACTCAAGTACGCGCCGGGCGTTGCGCAGCCCTAGACCTGCCAACACTGGACCGCGAAATGGTGCAAGGCGCAAACTAAGGACACTACTGGATTTCGTCGAGCAGAATTGTACATGTACTACAGTCTATGCACAGTTGAATCACTGTGTATACTTGGTTATGCTGTGCTTGGTAACACCCTCGCCTGTTTGTTCTTCGGCGCTCCGTTCTTCAGAACCCAACAGCACTGCAGTGCTACAGTGAGTGAGTTCGATTACGCCCGCGAATCTATTCATGAATCCATTCATGAATCGATTCGCGTTATTCACATCACCCCATGTGAATAGGGTGAATGGATTCTGAATCGATTCCAGGGCTCATGACATGAAATCGAACGACTTGAATGCATGAGAATAGATTCATGAATCGATTCAAGTGAATAATCGAACGCAGCCACTGGAGCAAGGGCAGTTTGCTCTTGTGCTGTATTACGCTAGTACTTACGAGTGGGCCGCGGCAATGCAACAGGTTTCTGAACACACTTTAGTGTTGTGTGCTTCTGTTTGATACGATGCAATGCAGTAAGTGTATGATGTGTGTGTGGGTGGCCACTGGCAATTATATGCCTCACTCTGTACTTGAAAACTACCTGCATCCCTTCCCCTCCCAATCGAGCTACTATCCGTTGGATCTATCCTGCACACAATCTCTGTAGCAATTGCTCCGAGGCATGTAATTATCCTAAAAGGTGTATTGTATACGAGGTTACGGCTTTCTGTATTACCTTCGTAATCTGTGCAGTCCAAGCCAGCATCACCTATTATGCAACGGAGGTCAGCGCAGTTTGAATGTGCAGGTACTCCGGAGGAGTCTCGTTCTGGTTGGCGATTGTCATTGTCCAGGGTTTCACCGGTGAGTGTGAACAACATTAATGTTATCATCACACATCACGCGCACTGGCTCGACAATGGTTTGGTTGCAGGGCATTGGGTCTCTTGTCCCTTGCATCACCAATTGCACGGGAAGCCGCGTCTTGCATTGAAATGTCAGTGGTTCCTCAGACATGCTTTTGAATTGGCCCGTTTCCTTAGGCCAAGTAGTAGAACAAACTTCTGGCTCTTACTATTAACATTCCAAAGTTCCACCAGCACTATCCGGCATTGCATTCTCTTCAAGTGGATAAAGGCAGAAGAAGAAACAAGCCGGTACAACAACGTACATGTGATGTAAGCTGCAGGAGGAAGTTTAGCGAAAGCAAACACAGAAAGACGGCAAAGTGATGATGACCACGCACACAGAAGCATGACATATTCCGGCGTTATGCAATAGTGATAGACACTAGAAGAGCATAATTCTGCTGTTCGATAGGGCATCCACATGTTGTTAGTTTGGCCCGCCTGTCGCTGGCCATTTTTACCACAATGCTGATATCGCGCTGATCGCACATCTTCTTGCACGCACTACTAGTGAACACTGTAGGGAGACAGGAGATTCTTGCACGCACTACTAGTGAACACTGTAGGGAGACAGGAGTGAACACTGTAGGGAGACAGGAGTGAACACTGTAGGGAGACAGGAGTGAACACTGTAGGGAGACAGGAGTGAACACTGTAGGGAGACAGGAGTGAACACTGTAGGGAGACAGGAGTGAACACTGTAGGGAGACAGGAGTGAACACTGTAGGGAGACAGGAGTGAACACTGTAGGGAGACAGGAGTGAACACTGTAGGGAGACAGGAGTGAACACTGTAGGGAGACAGGAGTGAACACTGTAGGGAGACAGGAGTGAACACTGTAGGGAGACAGGAGTGAACACTGTAGGGAGACAGGAGTGAACACTGTAGGGAGACAGGAGTGAACACTGTAGGGAGACAGGAGTGAACACTGTAGGGAGACAGGAGTGAACACTGTAGGGAGACAGGAGTGAACACTGTAGGGAGACAGGAGTGAACACTGTAGGGAGACAGGAGTGAACACTGTAGGGAGACAGGAGTGAACACTGTAGGGAGACAGGAGTGAACACTGTAGGGAGACAGGAGTGAACACTGTAGGGAGACAGGAGTGAACACTGTAGGGAGACAGGAGTGAACACTGTAGGGAGACAGGAGTGAACACTGTAGGGAGACAGGAGTGAACACTGTAGGGAGACAGGAGTGAACACTGTAGGGAGACAGGAGTGAACACTGTAGGGAGACAGGAGTGAACACTGTAGGGAGACAGGAGTGAACACTGTAGGGAGACAGGAGTGAACACTGTAGGGAGACAGGAGTGAACACTGTAGGGAGACAGGAGTGAACACTGTAGGGAGACAGGAGTGAACACTGTAGGGAGACAGGAGTGAACACTGTAGGGAGACAGGAGTGAACACTGTAGGGAGACAGGAGTGAACACTGTAGGGAGACAGGAGTGAACACTGTAGGGAGACAGGAGTGAACACTGTAGGGAGACAGGAGTGAACACTGTAGGGAGACAGGAGTGAACACTGTAGGGAGACAGGAGTGAACACTGTAGGGAGACAGGAGTGAACACTGTAGGGAGACAGGAGTGAACACTGTAGGGAGACAGGAGTGAACACTGTAGGGAGACAGGAGTGAACACTGTAGGGAGACAGGAGTGAACACTGTAGGGAGACAGGAGTGAACACTGTAGGGAGACAGGAGTGAACACTGTAGGGAGACAGGAGTGAACACTGTAGGGAGACAGGAGTGAACACTGTAGGGAGACAGGGGGAGATTTGTAGTTACTACTCTGAGTTTCACACTCTGGGCGATATTCAGATCATCAGATATCCACTCTCGCCGCTCTGTATTCTACTGTAGGATTTGTTATGTTTCTACGTACGCTGGTATCATCACCTTACTCCTTTTGCTGTGTATGTTCTAGCTGATCTACCTGATCACTAGTCAGTTGTGTGTTCTAGCTGATCTACCTGATCACTAGTCAGGTGTGTGTGTTCTAGCTGATCTACCTGATCACTAGTCAGGTGTGTGTGTTCTAGCTGATCTACCTGATCACTAGTCAGTTGTGTGTCTTGTCCAACCATGTAGTACTTGTGACTGTGCGGGACAAGTCGAAACTGTGTTTTCAAAGGTTGTTAATTATGTGTACTGGTTTGGACAGCTCCCGTTATGGCAAACAAATACCGTTGCCCCTTAGTGCTCATCCTGAAGATGTTGGTCTGTATTCTACTGCCCGCCGTGCTTTCAGGACGGACACTTTGACACCGCGCCTCGTACTGTGTCACCAGCACTGGCTCGCAAAGTAGCATTAATGGGATTGGATGCAGAGAGTCCAACCTCCGAGCAACCCCATGGCCCAGGAATCGTGTCACCATCACCGCTAGCTTCGCCGGTCACGGAAACAGCCTCGAAGCCGAATGTCAAAGAAGAGGTGAGCGGGTTTGGGTGCAATGCGCTAGTGATCTCTTAGGCAAGGTGGTATGTCAATGTTGCTCTGGTGGCAAGTTGCCCAAGAACAGTCCACTGTTACCGCAACACTGGACTGTTAACTGGCATTTTCTGATATTTTTTATCCTGATCTAATTCCGTGTGTGTTCCCTTCTGCCATTTTTTCAATCTCGTTTGTTTCTCTTCTTCTCCTGATTTTCTGATGCGTGAAGTAGGCGCGGATGCCGAGACCATTGGTCGGCGGAGCCTGCGGCACCCCATCACCACCGTTGCGTTGCATTTCCAGCCCCATTCAGTCAATGTCTTGTTAGTCTGTTGTTTTGTCATTTTCTCCTTCTTTCTTGTGTTACTAATTGGGTGCGTGGTTTCAAGTAAAAAAAACCTTGTGAGCAGTACGCTGATTTCCCATATGGAATATTCCTCTTCGTAAGTCCTTAATTGTACTACACTAATCGGTGTGGTCAATTGCTTGGTCAATTTCATTGTGTTGTCTGCAGAGCATGGCAAGCACTGGCGGGAGAGCTACTCCACCACTGCCTGCTAAGAAGCGTTCGCGTACCAGTGCTATTGTCACCCCAGCGCAGAGCCATTCTCCCAAACCAACAAGAACACCTCCAGCTGCGCCAGTGCCCTCTTTAAAAACTGCCTCCAGCGCATCCCCTCGCCCTCCGCGCTCACCAAAGCCAGCGAAAAAAGTGCACACTGCGACAGCATCCCCAGATCTACAATCAGATGAGACAGAGTCCTCTCCTAGTCCACAGCCAAACTTTACTACAGGATCTGCCACAACAGATGATTTACAAGATCGACGCGCTCCCCGCAGTCCAGCGAGAGTGCAGCGCTCGAAAACGATAATGGTCCGGTCAGAGTCACCATCTCCATCACCAGGTGGCATGGTATGTCTTTGCAGTGTAATCTGCAATTCTACAGTCCTGCTCAATGAAATCCAGTCGCGTCACTCAAGTTTACGCCTTGCACCATTTCGCGGTCCAGTGTTGGCAGATCTAGGGCTGCGCAACGCCCGGCGCGTACTTGAGTGACCCGACTGGATTTCATTGAGCAGCACTGTAGAAGACTTTATTTGTACTTTTTTTATCAGCAGAGAGAGAGAGAGAGAGAGATTTGAGATAACATACGCACCGTGGTGAGCATTTTAAGTTCAGAGTTAGCGTGATGGAGAGGATTAATCCCTCAGCTTGCTGTTGACACAATGGTGTCACCTCCCTTCCTTTTCTTCTTTTGTTAATGCTATTTTCCGTGGTTGGATTCACCCTCCCTTTCTTGTATTGGCTATGTACTATTACTATGATGTGCCATGAAGTGTAGACGATAAATAAATAAAATAAATAAACTTACTTGCACTGCTTTGCGAGGGGGGGGGGGCTACTTTCACACATTGAATGGTGGGTGACTGATGAGAGTATAAGTACGTACGTTTTGACCTTTGCTCCTCTCCATCTTATCATGCAAGTCTGAAATTTTGTATCCTGTGCTGGAATTTTCTGCGTATATGTATATTGTGTATTCCTGTAGTATCTTGCGCTGGAAACTTCTGTGTATATTGTGTATTCCTGTAACTAGTCACCTCTGGCATCGCCCCGCAATGCATCATCACCTGTGCCAAGGAAGAGAACGCGCACGTCTGTGACGAGCCCTTCTCCTGAATTGGTAAGATTTGCTGTTCCTGCGTAGGATTTAGATTAATGCGGTTTGTATTTCGAGAGCTGCTGCAATCCTGCCATTTCACACAACTGAGGCGGTGCACTGAGGTGTGATTGCCATTCTAAAGGTGTTGGTGTTAATTGTGGTAATCTTGGAAGTGACCTTGTCTTTTGTTGTCACAGTTTGTATCTCAGGCCATACAGGACATACTCGTACATGTAGATGCCCGAATTTCTAACTTTGTCTACGAACCACATTCTGTTGAATCTTGTTTCAGGATGCCGCACTGGGTATTGCCGAGGCTATTAGCAGTGGCGAGGACATGAGTGTGCCAAGCACGCAGCCATCAGCTGCAGTACTATCCAAGTCACTTCCAACCGGATCTATCCTGCTGCAGTTCCAGTCGCCAACGGAAGATATCCCAGACAAGGAAGCTGCTACTACTGCTGACGGTGTTAATAGTGCAGACGATACTCAGGCTGAGCCTGAACAGCGAACACAAGCGGATGCAAGGAGCAGCCGGCGCAAGTCCCCAGAGGACACTGTTCATGACATAGAGGTAAGTGGATGGCCAGTACATCCACCTTTCGAGGTCACTAGTATGTGAATGATGTCATAGTGATGTGAATGATGTCATAGTGATGTGAATGATGTCATAGTGATGTGAATGATGTCATAGTGATGTGAATGATGTCATAGTGGTGAGTCAGCGGAACTGCTTACTAGCGCTATGCATACAATGTGAGTCGCTAGTGCATCCATGTGCAGTGTCTTTGCCAAGGCAGCTCAACTGATGATGTAATCACATAAACTCTGTTGTTCGCCTTGGCATGGATCTATTATCTGGAAGGGAAGAAAGCCACAACCGTGCCCATTGGCAACCACCTTTTTACTCTCAGTTTTTGTTGGCACTTGCCGGCAGGATGACATGATAGTCCACAGTAGAGTACGCTCTCTGTCCCCACAGTGCTTCATGCCGCAAATGGACAGAGCTTCCTTACAGAGACTGGTGAATGAGGCTTCATGACTAGTATCTTATCCTCCATGTAATTTTCGCTTGAATGTTTATATTAATATGTTTCATGTCTCAGGTAAGCTCGTCTCGGTCCAGATCGCCAACACGTCGTAGCATGAAGCGTCGTGCACCAACTCCCCCGGCCAATGTCAGGCCTTTCACTGTGAAAGAGGTAAGCTCGGTTTCTACTGAAGTGTGGTAAGCTTGTTTTTTTTTACTCAAGTGTACGTTTCACTTGCACCAAACCCAGTGTATAAAGTCGTTTGTCATTCAACCAGGTGTATATTATGTAGATGTAAACCGTCCTGGTTGCACATGATCAGGGGCAAATATGAAATACTGTAACGAACCATCACCGAGTTATTAGGGGTGAGCTTGTAGGATGTGAATGGGTAAGGGGAATGACATGGGTTCGCGTACAGGACGGCGGGTCAAGAGCCGCCTTTCCACTACCGTGGGTGCATGTGCATGAGTGTGTGAACTCGATATCCTACACAGCACCATGTGTTTGCCGTGCTATCATTGAAACTAACTCACTGCTGTTCTGTCTGTTTTCTTTTTCCCCCCAGGGCCAGCCCGCACCAGCCGGAAGTGGATCACCGAAAACTTGGAACTTATCACGTAGTCTGTCCACACCTCCGGCATCGCCACTCACGCGACGCAGCAGCAACACAGTTGACGATCGCATGCTGCCAAGTAGCATCAGTGATAATCATGTCATGTCATTTTCTGCTCCAGCTGGTGAGAACACTTCCTTTCTTGGAAGCAACGAGGACATACTCGGCACTTCAAGTCGTAGCTCTAGCCGAATGGAGCTGGAGCTACATCCCACTGATTCGGAGTCAGGGAAAGAAGACGTGTCAACGGTCCGTCGGTCCAGGAGAGGTGCGCCACCACCGCCCAGGGGCTTGAAATCTCCTCCGCCGATTGCTGAATTCCCCGACGAGCCGAGTCCTCTGGATTCCCCAGTTGCTGGGCCTATGTATGCAATGATACCAGAGATCGGAGGAGGACAGGCTCAAGGCAATACCCAAGGCAAGAAATCCGCCACCAGTTTGGGACCACCCCAACAGCCCGCACCAGCTGTGCCAGCTCCTGCCGTTCCAGAACCTGGCGCATTGGCCGCCACACGTAAGCGGTCGGGTTCTATCAAGAGGAAAGCACCGTCGCCCGTCAATCCGTACGCCAGTGCCGACTCTCAGCAAATGAGTGTATCAATGCCATCATCACCCTTACTACAGAAGAGCCCATCACCGGATGTAACGATGCCCACATCACCGCAACCGAAGCCTCGAGCCAGACCACAACGAACAGCACCTGCCATTTCCAAAGCCGCATCGGAGTCGGATCTGGTCTCGGAATCGCCTCCGCTGCCAAAGCGTAACCCCGTTACGAGGCAAAACACCGACACATCTCTGCCCATTGCTCCTCTGGCTAGTGAAGGCGCATACGGTGTGCGCACCATCACAGACATGGAGTCACCAATGTATGCATGCATACCCGAGCTTGGAGGAGGCGCAGCAGCAGCAGCAGCAGCAGCGGGGGCGGCAGCTGGCAAGGATGACCAATTGGCACAGGACAAACGGGAAGAGGATGGCAGTAACGAAGAGCCGGTAAATGGATTGCCTATTTAGAGATAGATTTGAGTACGCTTTTGTATCTTGCAGCATATGGCCAAGCCTGGGAAGGTTCTTGGTTGTGCTTGTTATAATAATTATCCCGTTGTCTACTTTGTGGAAACCACGTCTGAACAGTCAAACTGCTTGGTGTGGCAAACTACTGCCAGTAGTAACGTGCATACGATGTGAGTGTAACGTTACTTGGGCTCCACTTTGACGTGGTGTTTCTTGTGCGTTTCTCAATTTCAGCGATCTGAGTCGGTGAGCCCGGAAACCGCGTCTTGTAAATCACCTCACCTCACTGAGGAAGAAGAGAGACAGTTACAGGAGCAGATCAAAACTTTGGATGAAGAACTGGAGGTAAGGTTGTGTATAAGATAAATTATATCCTTGCCTGCTGCATTTCGCTCCGCTATCTTCTCGTGGCTAGGGCACCCTGTAAGAAGATCATAGGTCTGTGGGGACTGCCCTACAGTCCATTCACAAAAAGATGGGCCCTGGCTCTGGCGAGCTCCCGTATTAGGCGATTTTCAAGATTTTATCGTACACAGTGCAGTGCTGTGAAACTTGAAATTTAAATTTGAAAAAGGGTCCAAAAAGGGTACCTGAACTGGGGTTCGAACCGTACAATGCACTGTTGCAGGCTGGGTCAAACAGCCGGGATTTTGATGGGTTTTCCCAATTCAGTGCTCTTGGGGCAAAACCTGGCCGAAATCTTATTCTTCCTATGGCTTGCTTTTTGGAGAAATAGACTTCAGAAACATAATTGGAAGAGGATTCCATAGGGGGTTGCAGAAAAAAATTCTAAAAAAACTCAACGTTTGACCCATTTATGGCCAAAAGCTAGAAGTCCATCTTTTTCTGAATGGACTGTAGTAAAATATGAATAAATAATAATAATAATAATTTGGAAAGGATTGGGAGAACTTCAAATTCAAATGATCAGTCGGGGAAGTGAACTGCCTGAAAAGAGAAAAAACGCCTGGTGGGTCTGGCGTTTTTTCTCTTTTCAGGCAGTTCACTTCCCCGACTGATCATTTGAATAATAATAATAATAATAATATCATGTGATGAGAACTCAATACCGAAAGAGTCGAAGAGGAGAGAATATTGCCCTGAAAAACACAAGCACAGTAGTACTTTATGGAACAGGAGATGACACTGTATTATCTTTTCCTGATTGTGACCCCGTGGTGATCATGCCGCCATGTTGCTACTCTTCTCACGGTCCAGGTGGAGAAGAAAACACAGCGTAGCCTCCAGCAAATGTTCAAACTCTTGGACGGCGACAAGGCAATAGACGTGGCAGAGAAGATGGACAAGAACGAGGCTGCCATTGCCGAGTTGGAGAAGGAATTGGCAAAGTTGAGAGGTCAGTGATAGGCCACTCTTCAACTCACACTATAATTCTAGAATTTGCGAACCATTCAGCCAGTCACTCTGGGATTTACCCTTGCAAAATTTAGGTTGGAACAGCTAGCTGTAAGGAGATTGAGCAATGCAGAAACTTACATTGACTGGAACAAACTACAACCGTGGCCAGTATAACCTAGAAAAGCCATGTACACTTCTGCACCGCAAACTGATTCTGATGATCTCGTGCGACTGATGAGCTGCGGATGCTGCGTTCAGGATGTCAACATTGGCGCTGCAGATGGTCATCGGTCCGCATTTCACCTGCCATAGTTTTATGTTTTCTCTTGAAACACACCAGCATGTTGTGTCAAAATGGCTTGTGAAATAATGATAGTTTGCCGTAACCTAAACACCCGCTCTACGTGGACAGCGGGTAAAGTTGTATGATCGATATAATTATTAGTGGTGTGCACGGGTAGTCGGGTACCCGTGCTACCCGTTAGGACCTCGGGTAGTCGGGTACCGAATAGTACCCGAAAACCCGAGGTCGCAGATGACATCATGTACAGTGCACGTGTACAAATAATTCATGCATGTCTACCCAATGCGCAAGGGAAGGGGCCGGTGTGCATTGTGGTCTTACCATGGAAACATTACCCGATCGGGTACCCGTGCCACCCGTGGAAAACTACCCGGACCCGATACCCGAAGAAAATGCTACCCGACTCAGCCCTAATAATTATGCACTCTCACACATATTTGATTATTCTGAGTTGATTTCCGACTGAGACAGTTCTTATTTGAGAAATGAGTTACATCTGTTCCCATGCCGTTGATCCAATCAATGATGGCCAATAGTATTATATACTTCTACTGTGTAACAGAAATCGAGTCTGGCGAGCGTAAGATTGACAATGAGCAGCGTATACGCCTTCGCAAGCAGGTGATCAATGAGCTGGTGACGACGGAGAAAACCTTCATCAACGACATGAAACTGTGTGTGGAAGGGTTCCTAAATCCCCTTCGTGAAGAGGTATGAGTCATAACTCGCCAAGAATCTTATGTGTCTTAGTGAGCCTTCGGTGGTGCTCAATTCAGAAACATGATCTAGAGACTCTACGTACTGCTGCATCTCGACCACAAAACAGTGGTGACCTGCATTTCTTGTTGTCGCCAGTTTCAAATATTGTTGGGAAACCAGTATATTAGCCCTGGTATCCAAGTCTGTATAGTTATCAAAGATTATAATATGCATTGAAGAAGATCGTAGTCTTACAATTCTCCTGAAAGGAAGATTTGGACTTTCTCAACCTGCTGCTGCTGCGTTGTGCTGTGCTGGACAGGGTGCTGTTGATGTCAAACAGTTGTTCGGAAATCTGGAGGAGCTTGTGGAGGTTGCACAGAACTTTCTAGAGCTGCTGGAGAGCCGCATTTCCGTGGAGAGCGGTGAAGAGGCACAGCTTGCAAACTGCTTCACTGACATGAGAGATGAGCTGTCACAGGTGTACGCTCAGTACTGTCGCAATCATGATGATGCAAGTGATCTGATGATGAAGGTGAGTGGGTGCGCCTATGGCTGGGCTGCACTTTCGGGTGATGGAGTTAAGTTGATGAGTTCCAAGCTTGCTATCCCAACCTCCTCTCTCTCTCTCTCTCTCTCTCTCTCTCTCTCTCTCTCTCCCTCCATCCCCCTCACTCCGTCCCTCCCTCCCCTCCCCCTCCCCCTCCCCCTCCCCCTCCCCCTCCCCTCCCCTCCCTCCCCCTCCCCCCTCCCTCCCTCCCTCCCTCTCTCTCTCTCTCTCTCTCTCTCTCTCTCTCTCTCTCTCTCTCTCTCTCTCTCTCTCTCTCTCTCTCTCTCTCTCTCTCTCTCTCTCTCTCTCTCATTCTCTTCCTGTGTGTGGTGTGTGTCTTTTGGAAGGTTTGTATCATTGTATTGCTTTGGATGATGTGATTTGAGCCGATGTACCAAGCACTGGATAAAGTAGTAAATGCCGGAGGTATATTTGAATTAGCCCCATCCCTCACACAAACAAGTCAACAAAGAGGCATCTTTGGATTGAGGAGTGCTGGTTTCGAAACAACTTGTTTGAAGCTCAAAGTAGAGCTGGTGTTAGCTCAGAGCAGAGCTGCAGTTAGCTCATAGCAGAGTTGCTGTAAGCTCAGAGCAGAGCTGCAGTTAGCTCAAAGTAGAGCTGCTGTTAGCTCAAAGTAGAGCTGCTGTTAGCTCAAGGTAGAGCTGCTGTTAGCTCAAGGTAGAGCTGCTGTTAGCTCAAAGTAGAGCTGCTGTTAGCTCAAAGTAGAGCTGCGGTTAGCTAAAAGTAGAGCTGCTGTTAGCTCAACGTAGAGCTGCAATGCTAAATGGATGTAATATAGCGCAAGGCAGAGCCGCAGCAAATAGCTAGATAATACCAGTTGTGAGAGTGGACCCGATTAGTGGGTACGATAATTATAATGATGGTGTGAATAAGTTGGACAGGGAGGGATGGTGGGAAAAGATTCAAAAGAAACACTGCTGAAGCACGATCCGTTGTCTGGAAGAGCACAACAGGGCAAGCAAAATTTGTTTTTCTTTTCAGCAAAACGGGCTGGTGCCATTTATGATTACGCAGCAAAACAAAGCGCATGACGTCAGTCCATGCAGTACAAAGCAATGCAGTGCAGTGTGTGCGCTAGTTCGGATTGTTGCTAGCAAGTACTAGCACAGCTAGTACACCATTAAACGGTTGTGAGTAGCGTGAGTTAGTATCCTCCCTTGTTGTGTTCCTTTTTCTTTTGTTGCAGCTTGACTCAACAACAGAGCATCAAGAGCGGATGAGTCAGTTGAGTGAAGATGTGCGCACGCTACACAACGCCAAGGCGTGGGATTTGCAGAGCTTCCTGATCAAACCGGTGCAGCGCGTACTGAAGTACCCCTTACTTCTACGTGAACTGTCCAAGGTAGATATACACTTCCTCGGCATGGCTTTGCTGTTCATGAAGCTGATGAGCTCTCAGTAGATTATGCGTAGCAGTATCTGTTCCTGGCTAGTTAATATGGATGCAATGGCAATGCAAGCATGTCAGTTCAATTCCAGTTCATTTGAGTGGATTGACCTCGGGAGCAACCCTCAAATTGCAATCAGATGAGAATGATGACAATCTCAAAACGGTGATACTATGTGTGACTGGACATGATTCGCTCAGAGTTGACCTTCCACCTAACGAAAGGCTAGCATGTCCTTTAGAGGGTGTCTGCCATTCATGCCCGGCACCGAGCAATGTCTTTTAATATTAGTATTATTAACACATCTGCCGGATGAGTATTCGTGGCCTGTGCAATATTTACAGGGATCCACGAATACAGACGAGCATAATAATATTCCCACGGAAATACGCGCAAGCAAAGAGAAAGGTGACTGTGTTTTACCCTTGTGTGGACGTCTGGACAAACGTGAACAAGACCGGGCCGTTGCATCATAACAATGACGTCAACTGGAAATCCTGACGGGACAGCAGGGTATTTGGGAATTGCACACTCTGGGGGGGGGGGGGGGGGGGGGGGGGGGATATGTACTCTTCATTTTACGAGGGCTGTGTTGTTATCTTTGTGTTCAGTATACTGACTTCAGCCATCCAGACAAGAAAGAACTCAAACAGGCCATGGAGATCATGGAGGGAGTGGCACGTGAAATCAACGAATTCAAGCGACGCAAAGACCTGAGTAAGTTTCGTTGCATTATTTGGCTTCATATGCTGCCAAGGAGTGCATGACTGTAAACAGCTAATTTTAGCGCCAGCGATATTTTGGCGATTCTAGCAGTGGAGCCTCCGAGTACTGTAGAAAATGTACCGTTTCTACTACGGAAACGATTCATCCTCCAAAATCCCCTCTGATGGCGGTTAATGGTATTCGGTCTTTTCTTCCTGTCAATTACTGTTTGCAGTGCTGAAATACAAGAAGTCAACTGAGGAAGCTGCTAAAGTGGGAATGGGAAAGCTTAGCTGGCACTCAGTCACCAAGAAGACCTCGCGATTCACACAGAAGATCGGCCAGGCCACTGGATTCACAGCCTCTGTAAGTACTTTTGGCTCAAGTTGAATGTGGTCTCTCCCACCCTGAACCTATCATACCCATTCACAGGCTTATCTGTGCAATGGTTTCCGTGTGACACACCTGGGTGTTGTGCCTTCAGGTATTCCTTCCAGTATGGCCTTTCTTAGAGCACAGCAAGCTATAGTTAACTTGTGACTCACTGTGTTTATGACTAATAGGGGTGTGTATTGGCCTGTGCCAGTCTGAGCAAGTGCCAAAAGCAGCTGTATTGCAAGTACTAGTAGGTCGTGCGGTTTCATCCTGCGACACTAATGGTCCTAACTACTGCTCTTGTTTGGTGTGTGCAGACCATTGACAAGAAGTTTCATGATGAGGAAACACTGTTCCGTGAACTGGAGAAGGCCACCAAACAGTTACTAAAGAATGTCCAGGAGCACGTACAGTTTACACAGGTGGGTGGACGTGTCTGGATTTTTCAGTGTGTGCATCGAATGAATTACTTCATCACAGTCCCCATATTTCTAGCATTGTTCCTGGATGACTGCTTCCTCTGGTATGCTGGAGAACCTCTGTTTACAGGCACATTTGACTTTTTACCCAGTATTTTAAAAGCACTGCTGTTTTCTACTCTATGCTTCTGTAGTCGAGTGGCTCCAGCCTGTTGTTTGGAAGATGTTTCGTGCGTTCTATGTTTCACGGATCTCACAATGGCGATGTTTGTTTTGCGGTGATTTACTGACAGGAATTGAATGCTGTCATGCAGAAAGTACTGCTGTCCTCTCAGAGTTTTTACGGCGACTCAACAGACAATAACTTTGGCATGTACCTCCAAGCGTGCAACTTCCAGATAGGTGGCTCGTTCGGCAGCTTTGTGAGTATTTTTTTACTCTAGTGAAGTATTTGATTGTGTGAGATGCGTAGGCAGTGTTGGTCTAGTCGCTTGCATGGGCCTGGGATCTATGTTCCTTGCTATGGTCCAACCTTCACACTGATAATAACCCCGGTGTTTGTCATTGCTGGAATCCTCTTGGTTTGGAGGGTGGGGCAATCCCTGTGATTTCTCTAGCACCATTCTCGGAGCTGTGGAAAGAGCTGAGAGAGGGATGAATTTCATGTGTTATCCTGTACATGGTTCCTTCACAGTATCTCATACATTCAAAGTTTTCCCTTAGCCTAACCTGTCCCGCGTTTCGTTCTCTACGTTCTACCCTTAGATGGATGACTTGAAGACCGGTGTTGTGGACCGTCTTGAAAGGCTTATTTCGCAGTTCGAAACACCGCGCTTTTTCATCGACAAGAGAAACGATAAACTACTCGACTACGACTCCTGCAAGAATCGTGTGGACAAGTACAAGGCCGACCCGGAGAGGCTGAAAGAGGTGAGAGATGTACTGTAGTCACATCTAACTTGGGTTAGTAGCGATGGCGAGTTTACAATCATATGGGCCGTTGCAAGCAAGACCTGGTCATCATAGGGAACAATGCTTGCACAAGCAAGAGCAGTCAAAACTGTTGCATCAGCATTAAAGATGATTTTCTTCTCGAAAAGCATAATTTGCACCAAAAAACATGCTTTCGCTCGCAATGGCCCATTGTTCGTGTTGCGCATCTTGACTGCTAGGTGCCATATTCACGGTCTGTGTGCACAGGATCATCTGAGGTAGGTATTATTAGCTCAATGCTGTACTGGTATTTTCCATGTTTATGCTTCAGTTCAAGGAGGAACTGAAGAGAAAACAGCGAGAATACGAAGCAATGAATGCCCAGCTGCTCGAAGATCTCCCCAAGCTGGTCACCGTCAGCTTGAAGATCATGCTGGGAATTGTCGCTTCCTGGGAGAATTTGCAGCAGATATACTGTGCGAACTGCGCTCAGATCTTGACGGAACTTAGCACGGTAAGTTTATGGTGAATTGTTTCGGCATCTCCATCACTGTGGTGGAACAGACCTTTGTTGGGGCCCCAAGTATGGGGGAGGGGGGTCGACATATAACAGAGGTTGAATTATTGCAACTTGTACTCTTCATTTGTGTTATGTGGTGGGTGGGAGCCGAGAGAGATTTTTCCAGAAGTTCAACTTACTATGGCTGCAAAAATGGATGAAATGTAACGTGGAAGCCCTGTGGTTGCATGTCACGTAGCGGCCAAGCTCCCATTTCATGGGAGGTGTCATTATCAAAAGATATGACTTTGTTTCTGTTATCTTTTTGAGTTTAGGGTCACAGTTAAAAAAAGGGGTCCAAGAGTTTGCTATTTTCTCTGCTCTATGTTCCCTAAACGGGCAGGCATAGCGGGGTGATCTAAGACAATGATTGAGAAACCAAGGTTACCAGGTTCAAGTCGTTTTGAAGCGGCAGGCTTTTTCCAGCTGTGCTGCGACCCAAAGTTGATAGGCAGCTCGTGGCCTGGCACGAGGGAAAGATGGATACAGTGAATGAGGGAAAGATGGATGCAGTGAATGGGAAAGATGGATACAGTGAATGGGAAAGATGGATACAGTGAATGGGAAAGATGGATACAGTGAATGGGAAAGATGGATACAGTGAATGGGAAAGATGGATACAGTGAATGGGAAAGATGGATACAGTGAATGGGAAAGATGGATACAGTGAATGGGAAAGATGGGTGCAGCGAATGAGGGAAAGACGGATACAGTGAATGGGATTTTCGGTCCTTTGACTAATTTGTGCTGGGTGTGATCTACTCACGTCCCACCGCTTTGGGGGGTGCATCTGTGTCTTGGTCGTTCAAGGTGATGGCATTCCTAAGGTTTGTGGAACACTCAGTCTGGCTGGGTCTCATGCCAACCGGGTTTGTTTTGCCGGTTTTCTCATTCTTTCTCCCTGGCAGCTGGACATGATTCCATCTGGAGCAGAGAATGATGATGATGTTACCTACACCCACACTCAGACACTACTGTGTCTCTATGACAAGTGGAAAGGCTTCAAGATCGTACCCAAGGGATGGGTGGAACGGTCGCTGGCGTCACCGACTAACCGCGGATCACTACGTGTCTCCCGGATGGTAAGGCATAGGACTCTAGCTGGTTCATACGATGCCTCTGAATCCTACAAATGCATAGGGGCTCTATTCGAATATTGTTGCTCTCGTGCCATTTGGCATATTTTCTGCGTCTCCAACTACCGTTATTACTGTCTTTTTCCTTTGACATCATTTCTGATGACCATCCTCTTCTGGCAGAGGAATGCCAAAAAAATGTAATAGTTGAGGTATTGACTGTGCTCTGTACTGTCCGCGGCCATAATAATTGATGAAGCAACGGCGAGTTCTCCCTTGATGTCGGTCAAACACCACCATAGATACTAGTGGCAGTAGGAGGCCAGCATTATCTCAGCATTATTGCATGCCTGTACTGCTGTACAAACAAACTATCCCACTAGTACAAGGACCCTTGTGCTGTGAATTGTTAAGCTAAACTGCCTCTTCACACACTGTGTGTGTGTGTGTGTGTGTGCGTGCGTGCGTGCGTGCGTGCGTGCGTGCGTGCGTGCGTGCGTGCGTGTGTGTTTGGTGTAGCCATCAACAATGAGCGGGTCCCTGGATGCACTTAACCTCACGGCTGGTCGCAGAACATCAGCGGAGAGTCTTGCTTCGTCTAGCGTCAGCAACCTGTCCATCGACAGCAACTTCTCGTTTGATCTGAAGAGTACGGCTCGCAAACGTCCCCCTATACCCATGGTGAGTTGGATTGGAGTTAGCAGAGCACTGCTTGAGTGGTGTCTTGTTGTCTGTACAGCAACCGAGATGCTCCAGTTTCACCACCACAGTTGCGTCTGCAACCACCTCTATCATGCAGTATTCTGTTCTCGAGGTTCGTGGTTTCTCGTTATTTAAAAAAAAAAACCAGTTAGCACAGCACTGTGTGGTGTCTTGTTGTCTGTACAGCAACCACCCAGTCCCTCCTTTCATAGTATTACTGACTACTAGTACACTATCTTAGTGTATGTGCAGCCGCCATACCCTTCAGCATAGCATTGCAGACTGTTTCATCTCCTAGTTGATTTCCCATCGTCATGCGGGTCATCACACAACTGATGATTGACTTTCGTATGAAGTGGCTAGTCAGATATGCACTGGGTGGCAGGTCATGTGATATTTCTTGGCAATCCGAATCAATCATGTGCCCCCTACAGTGATGAATTGCTCTCTGACTAAGCACAGGAGCAAACAATAAGGGGACGAAACACTTTCAAACACTTTTTCCGTCCTCTTATTGTTTGAACTAGCTCTGCCTCTCGGTGTTGAGCACTCTCTTAGACAGCCTGGAACCTCTCTGTTTTATAAGCACAGGGGCATGTAGCTTGACTGACATTTCCAATGGCTACTTGTTTCTCCCAGTACATGCAGCAAGAGTCCTCCATCTCTCAGGCATCCGTTGTCAGTGACTTTGAAGCTGGTAACGACACTGAGCTCACCGTCACCCGGGGCTCCTTCGTGGAGGTCCTGGCGAAAACTGACACCAGCAACAAGTAAGGATAGTGGTGTATAGGACGTGTAGTCTGAATCGGGGTCCATATTTCACAGTGGGCAGCTGCTTTGTGATGTGCTACTCGAAGTTTGTGAACTTTTACCCTGGATATTGGAATCTTATGAGCACGTATAGAACAGATAATGGCATCATTCAACTGTGTGGAATGTTCTCCTTACCCGAAAAAGCTGTGGCCATCAACATTTGTGTTAACACATAGGATGTGCGGAATTTGTTGTGCGTCTTCCTTTTAGTATCACTGTAGTACTTTTCCAAGCAATGTCTTTGTGGCAAGATAAATTGACATACGTACCAGTTACAGTGTAGCCTGTTACAGTATGTTGTTGTGCTGTTCTCCCCTACGCACAATATCTGTAGTGCTGACTGGTGGAAGGTGAAGCAAGGTCAAAAATCAGGCTATGTGCCAGCGGCCTACCTCAGTGATTCTGGCATCTCGGATGTGGGTTCGTTTAGCCGCATGTCCTCCAACTCGTCAATGACTTCCTCGCCGGGCAAGCCTCGTCATGCACCACCCCTTGCCCCGAAGAAGTCGCGTGAGGAACCAGAGTACGCAGAAGCGGCAGCAGCCCGGCCATCACAGACCCGAAAGACATCGGGTGTCGGTGACGTCAATCCGTATCGTGCGGTGGACGTATTGATTACGAGCGGCACCGATTCAGAGAGTGCTTCGAGTTCTGTCGCAAGCACTCCGAGCGTCTCTCCTGAGCCGGTCGCGTTCAACGCAGGGGCTCAGCGTGCGGAAGACTCTCGATCATCCAAGGTATCAGTGAGCAGCATGCATGCACACTTGCCTGTGCATCGGGTGGCGTATGACTTTGAAGCGGAATCGGCGACTGAGATCACTCTCAAAGAAGGCGAAGTAAGTACATATTCTCTGTGCAGGGTCCTGACTACCAAGTTACAAGATATATCTTCGAAGAATATCATAAAAACCCGATCTGAAGCTCTGCTCTTCAAACATAGACATGAGCCAAAAGCATGCTGTGTTATTATGTGAACATGAAGACTTAGGTATAGGGGAAAACCTTATCCTGGAATTTCTTGAGTGGTGCTATTGGCTGCGAGACCACGTCTTCCATGTACGAGTATCTCTGTCCGATACACAAGAGAGACTCGGAGATTGGAAGCTGTGTCGCAACTCTGAGTTTCATGTATTACTCATCAGGCAACTGATGGCTCCAAAATGGGCAGCCTGAACATAAGGGGGAGCATGATGAGAAATACGGAGGGGACATATCAAGTTTTCGCTTCGCTAGATGAAATGGTGATGAAATGGAGCGTTATCTGTACTCAGTGCCACTATTCCTGACTGTTTTCGATGGAGACCGCCATACACTGCATTATGTGTTTTTTTTTGTTTTTTTTTGTTTTTTTTTACTATTATTCACAAACCCAACTCGTAAAATAAATAAATATGTGGACAAAAACAAACAGCTACTGAGCAGGGGCTGCACTGGGCAGCAGTGATGGTGAGGTACCAGGGGTTCCACCGACCAAAGGTCTCGGCTTCAATGCCACAAGCACGCACCAGGAAAAAGAAACAGAAATGTGAAGCAAAGCTAGATCTAGCTATGGGGAAGTAGAATGGGTAAAAGTACCGGTAGGTGTTAAGAAAAATAAAAACAAGATGCAAAGATGAATCGTTTATTATCAGTGTTTGGACTGATGTACAATGTACATGTCAACTTCATCAACCAAAACCATGAACTTTTTTAATAGATCTGATACGAAACTCGCACAAAGAAGTGTAAAGAAAACAAGCTAAAAAACAGAAAAATAATAAGGCACCCATTTTGATAATCCAGGGGATGGCCCACGCCTGGTAAAAGAATAAACAGAGAAAAGAAAAGAATCATAACAAGTTTTTCCATGTATGCAAAACACAGCTGAGCACTCTGAGCAAGGCCAGGTACGCGGATTAGCGGGTCCGGCAAGCGATGAGCTCGAAAAATTACAGGGAATCTGTTGCCCAGTACCAGTTGCTCTCTCTCAGGTGTCGGTAGACCTTTGTCTTGAATGACTGAAAACGTGTTTTGTGTGGGCGCTGCGACAGCAGCCTGTCAGGAAGGGAGTTCCATGCGCCAATACAGCAGTATGGGAACGACCGCTTCACGACGGATGGAGCTGAGACAGGGAGCGTGTCTGACAGTTGATAGGCGTGGCTAGTGGCATTATTGTGCTGGTTCCTGGTTCTGGGGTTGGCTGGAGAAACGCGATGCGGTGGCAATACAGCAAGTAGCTGAGGAGGACCAGTAATGAAATGCAATTTGTACATGCACGAGAGAGCAGCAACAGTCCGGCGGACAGCCAGACTGGGGAGAATTGCACCAGGGCCAATGATGCGCAGTGCGCGGCGTTGAACATTATCCAGACGTTGGATGTGGCTGGCCATCCACACAAGCGGGGCATACTCCATCAGGGGCCTCACGAATGCCTTGTAGACAGTGGTTCGGCCAGCTGGCGTTAGAATGTGGGCCGCTCGTCGGAGAAAGCCGAGGCGCTGCTGGGCGCGGATGGTCACGGTCCTGAGGTGACTAGCATGTGTAGAGTGATCAAAAGTGTTGGAATTGGGAATTGCTGTGCGTGGTGCCCCAACAGTATGCCGGAATCTGTCTGGTTTCGGTTAAACTGGCGTGCATGATTGTGTGTGTGTGCGTGTGCGCACGTGCGTGTGTGTGTGTGTATGTTTCAAAGAAGAGTACATGTGTCATGAACGTAGCATGGGAGGCATCCACGTCGTTGGTAACAGCAGAACCTTTGCATGACTGTCGTGTGTGTGTGTGTGTGTATATGCAGCTTGTGAAAGTGCTGACGGACCATGATACAACAGGCAACAATGACTGGTGGCTGGTCATGCCCACTGACTGCGAGGACCCAACACGTCGTGGCTACATACCGGCTGCCTACCTCGAGGACTTGGTTGCGTAGCATTCCGTAACGCACTCACCATCACCATATTGCAGAAGTGACTGGACCTTTCGATGTCGAAAGAATCAAATAGCATCATGCCTAGAAGAAGAGAAAGAATGGATGACCGCCGTGCGTGATGAAAGGTAACGATGAAACACTTCGAACCAGTTTTTAGCACAATGAGGGTCAGAATATACATATTTCACATGGATCTGAGTGCAGTACAATCAGCAGCAGCAGAAGACGTAGCTAGACGACAGTTAGCAGTGTCACTTGCAGTGTTGCAGTGTTGCAGTGTTGCAGTGTTGCAGTGGCTTCGATATGCTCGCTGGTTTCACTGGTTGTCAAGTAACTAAGAGAACGATCCGTGAAAACTTATTCTTTCCGAAAAAGATCTGTATAATTATTTGTACATACTCAGTCTGCCGGCCATACTGCTTTGTCCATTGCAGTCTTGTCGGCCCTATCTGCTTTTGTCGCCGTGTCGTGTCTTGGCGACCTCGTTTCTGCTTGATTGTTTGTCTAGAATATAATATAGACTTGAGTACTGTCTCTTGTTGTTGTTGCAACACTGCTCTCCAGTTCTTTAGTCATAGTTATTGATATTTCATGTTAGTGCTGCACTGGTCTTCGTATTTGTCCAAACGTAGTATGATAACTTACCATTTTATGTCTATTATACGCCGATATCATAGATATTGTTTGAACTAGAGAGGTCGCAAACAGCGGATGAACTATTCTATTGAAGTTTTTTGTTTCGTCTACGTGACTTCACGGAGTAATATATTACTGGATGGTATTTAGTTTTGTTTAACCTTTTCTGCTCTTTCTTGCTCTCTTCATGGCTTTCCTGCTGGCGGGAAAGACTGGCTGGTCCACATTTTTTTGCTTTTTATCTTATATAGCATCTTACACATTTGCTCTCGCCTTTCACTGCTCATGATCATCCCACACACTGATAGGCATTTGTGAGGTTTTCATCAAGTTTGTCCGGGTATAAACTCAGCCCGTGGGTATATTATTATGTGTATGGCACATGGATTTGTGATATGGGGGGGGGGGGGGGTGGATCGATACAGGACGTAGAAGTTGGCCAGGGCCGGTGTGTACATGACTGCATAGTTATTTTCAGGGCAAGGTATCACTTCACCTGGCATATTTCAACGTGCCTCTGTTTGTTCAGCGGTTCGGTAGGAAGGGAATTGGAACTGGGAGTCAGGGCAGGGGGGGGGGGGGGGGTGTAGGTGTGAAGGGCATGCCTAGAATTGCATTGTAACAATCTCAATCAGTAGCAATCAGTGAATCAAGAACACTTGACAGGTTCACGGATGGTTGATACATAATGGCATGACAGATGGTCTCCAGAGAAGGCTAAGCAAGAAACAAAGCGAAATCATAATTATTTCTACTGCAGAACTTCGCAGCGTCCTATACAATACTACATATGATTAATGTTTATGCGAGGCAGGCATTGAAGATCTTCTCATAACTGAAAAAGAATGGTATCGGTTTCCGACATCTTACATTATCAACATTTTCTTTCGAAATTTTTATAATTAAAATTATACTCAATCTGCGGACATAATTATATTACCCATATTATATTATCATTAAGTTAATGTTTCTCAAGACTCTCAACAGAGGTAGAATACTGTGCTGTAAGTGTGATACGACAGGCTAAGCGGAGAAGCACTATGCTCAAGTTCTCTCGCGTGAAAATGATGCTCAACTGTGGACTGTTGGCCAGCCATGGCAGTACACCAGTCTGCCCACGAAGATTAGTCAAATAGAATAGTAATAATAATATTATACATACAGCTCGCATCTTCCCTGAACCTGTTAGACAGGAGCAGAGTCGACGCATCTGTCAACAGTGTCAAGCCAAGTTAGTCTATCTCCTATAATGTATCTGGATGGCAGTCGTGAGTTAGTCAAGTGAGAATTCAAGTCGGCAGGAAAATCGCGAGCTCCCATGTAGGGAGCAACACACACTTCCCCAACTATCGCCGAAATCGCACCAACCTCTTCTTCCTAGAATATAGATAAATGAATCTCTATCTTGTTTCACCGATCGGCGATACGAGTTTTTTCTGAGCCGGTTGCTGTGGGTATTTAGTAGTAGCTGTAAATGCTCAATCCTTGGCTTCCTGGTTCTGACCTTGTCGTGGGAGAGTAACATTCTTTAGCGACAGATACTCCAGCTCATCTGACAATCTGCACAGAACATGAAGTACAGTGCAGCTCACTTAGCATCTACTCTAGTAAGACATGCATGCTTAGTAGACTCTACGTACATTGTCTGGAGAACGCATGTAGTGATCCACACGGAAGTATTCTATTCTACTGTTCGATTTTGACAGCATGTTACAAGGCGAGGACGCGTAGTGCTCCTGACTACAACCATAACCCGGTTGGCAGAGTCCCGGTCTTGCGACCATTTGAACCGTATTGGGAAAACCCAGGTTCGGTCAAATGGTCGCAAGACCGGGACTCTGCCAACCAGGTTATGGCTGTAGTGAGGAGCACTACGCGTCCTCGCCTTGTAACATGCTGTCAAAATCGAAAAACATGTTAAACTACCAAGCAAGGCTTCTGTGTATATATGTATTCTACTTGTAAGACAGGAAGTAGCTCGGATACTAAGCCCAATCAGTTCCTGCTCCCCATGGGCTATCAGTTCCTGCTCCCCATGGGCTATCCGACTTCCACTTACAGTAAAACCTGGCGTAAGTGACCTCTGGGTTTAGCGACCACCTGCTCTTAACGACCGTTTTTCCATGCCACCGACAGTTCTACACAGACACTGTGGGACCTGGGTCTAAAGACCACCTGGCTTTACTATGATGACCGCTTTCGCTTGCACCGTGGGGTAGTCACTTTAACCAGGTTTTACTGTGTATTGCAATGCCAGAGTTGCTCCAGCGATGGGAATATGCAGCATGCTGCAACATCCATATACATTATCATGCACGTATCCACCAAGCATGGAGTAAATGTGGCAGATTGGTACTGTGTAGCTGCTGCATTTCGGTGTGAATATGAATGAACAGCAGCTTTGTGGAATCATGCCAGACATACGTATATAATACAACTCAACAGTACGCTTGTACGTGAAATATAAACCGACATACAAACCGAGACGAAGCCGAGGTTTGTGTGATGGTTTATATTTCACGTACAAGCGTACTAGTGGGATGTATTATACTTATGCTGACCTTCTATGGAAACGGTCTATATGGGGTTTGTATGAGGTTTATATGCCCAGTACAACCCGCCAGCACGATGGGCAAGTTGACTGGAAGTTTTTATGAAAGGTCAGCATAATTCCATTTAAATGTACATGTATGTGTTATATTAAGTTTCTCAATCTCTATACAGACGTCCGCTCGGACCACCTTAGCCTGCAAGGTACAACGTTTATGCTGGAGCAAAGGCCAACTGTGTATAAGGTTTCATTGCATCTACAACGTTTCATGCACATGTACATAATATACATGCACGTGCTGTTGACATGAAGCCATATTCTAGGGTGCGTATGAGTTGCATAGCCATTATAGTTAGCCAGGGCATAGGTTTTACCTTTCATCCGTGGACGATGTTGAACACTGTGATAATGGCATCTTAGCTCCATTCTGCACCACGGAGCCGCCGCAATGCTGCGACTAGACAAACGCAGAGCACAGAACGGAGTATGCCTGTCATTTGTCAATGATTTCGTGCTGTTCCCACGCATCAGATACGCTGCTTGATAATATTAACAATAATGATTCTGGATAAAAGGAAGGAGAAAATGTTAGGAGTTATGACCAACTGTCCACCAATGTAACCAGATCATACTTATACAGCCAGCTAGTACAACAACAAGACAACTGACAAGGAGCACTGAGACATTCACCGACCAGGCTGACACCTATACACATCTACGAGGCGCAAACCAACTTGAAACTTGGAAGGCTAAGGTTAGGAAAGGTTCAAAGGTTCCTTCCTTCCCCTCTTTGCATGGTCATTTCAGTCATTACTTATTAGGGGTTCGGTAGCTCATTATGACAGGACATTGGATTGGATTGGATTGGTTTTTTTACTGTCGAAGAACAAACAGGCAGTGTTGCCTGAACTGTGTATCTATGGTAACTCATCAGTGAAAATAAGTACTACATGTATGAAACACGGTGTCCATATTGCTTGACTGAGTGTCTGTATAGTCATGCATACTTGAATCCTGTGGAACGTAGAACTGAAACCGATGAATTTGCAATTGTAGACTGACATGGAAAAATGGAGTGGTCTTCATCAGTCGATCGTACAGACACTTTGGTTTGGTTGGTTTGGTTTTTGTTATTTCAGTTCGTTGCCTCAACAGCACAAAGTACAGATATGGACCCTAATCCACTGTGTCCCATGACGGACACCACAATGACACTTATTTGCAAACTACAAGTACATGCCACTACTCACCAGGCCTGATGGGCTATGTGCTCGAGTGATTTCGCTTTGCGCTGCAGGGTGACAGATAAAATTTAATCAGACAGACAAAAAACTGATCTACTGTCCATCAGCCATTGACCATAATTAGAGATCCCGATGTGCAGGATTTCACTTTTAAAATGTTGCACATGACCCTACCCCTATAGCCTAGCCTAGGCTGCAGTCACATTGTGGCTGGTATGGGTGGTGTGTGCATGATCAAGTTCTGCACACTGTACCCCCAATCACAGTTGAAGCGCCATTGTAGCGGCGAAAAGGAATATAATTCAATATATTATTACCCGACTCGCATGCTGCATTGCATGGCCAACAGAATGCAAACAAACAACATCAAGATAATAAGTCCTGTGCTTGTGCACTGTTATAAACGTACCAGTGTCGCCACTGTCTCGGCACCGCCGTGACTTGATAACTGTCCTGGATAAGTCCTCCCAGAACTCCACTGCCTTCGTCAGCGAACAGCCATCTTTCAGCTCATCTGTGTACTGAAGAATGGAGTGAAGTTCGAAAGAACCAGGGCCTGATGAGATCAGTTTCTCCTGTTGATGGTTTTGCAAATATTGCCGTCAAATACTGAGTGTGCAATGGTGGATTAAAAGAATTGCGAACAATTATTTAAGCGTGAAGTGAAACTTTGGAGGTGTGAAGCTTGCGTCAACAACTCAGTGCATGCTACTTTGCCAAATTGTAATATATTGTGTATTACCAAGTAGTCATGTACGTTTAAGCTCATTACATGCGTACTTCAACTAGTTCAAGCGAATCGATGCAGCTACATGTAGGTGAGCATGTTACCGTACGTACATTCTTCAGTTCCAGAAGTAGCAGGGGGTAGGCGGCCACGTGTTCAACTGGCGACACTAGAAGACGCCGCAAGTCCATCACACTGACAGCTCTGCCGTCGGACATGCCCTGTGTCGCTATGCTGCTCAGTGACCGTTGAAACTCCATACTGAAATAGAGCTGTGTGGGTTGAATTCGTAAACGTGTGCACAAATGGATACAGACTTGTATAACAGTATACTTAAGTAAATTACTAATAAATGTGGGACAAAGTGCCCCTCAGTCCACCAACCCCTCTGAATGCAGTTTGCACCCTGCTCTGATTCATGCAAACTTATCACGTTACTGGTCGTCATCTGTGGAGCCACAACACATGCAAAAGTAACGCAATGTTGTGCTATGGCAAAATGATGATCTGCTTTGATAGTAATGGCTGCGACTCAGTAATAATTGCTTGTAAGCATGCGTTGTCTTTGGACTTTTCTAACCATCTTTCCGATCACGTTATCATGGATTTTCAATTTTTCAATAAAGTTCTTTGTTGTCATATGTGCTGTTGTCTCGTCTTGAGCCTGTCTGGTATCCTGATTGCGAGGCTTGAGCTCGCTACCCTGCTATTCCGCCGTGGCCGTGTATCACGTGTTTGAATGGGTCCAAGGGGCCTTTAGAGATAGGAATGTGATCACAGCCTGCTCGTGGCTGAACCCCAAACGGACAAGGCAGAACTAAGTTGTCCTTTATTAAAATACTTCGGAAGTAGGAGTTTCAACCTTCAATGCGACCCTAAGACAACAGTCGGAGCCGAGCTGAAACAGCTCGAGCTGAGTCTTGCGATTGTGCTGTTATTCCTAGCATTTACACGGATAACTTCTCTAATTCCTGGATTTGAGAATGGAGAAATGCTGTATAAATTCCGAACGTGGAAATCACTGCCTCACCGTGGATAATAGCTGAGAGGCATCGCCATGGTTACAGCAATATGGCTGATATGTCATGGCCAGGTCTCCAATCATCCCCACTAAGCACTGGCCAATAGGAGCGTTCTCGATCTTGCTGCCAGTGACACATTCCTGCAGCTTGGCGAGAAGTTTGTTGGCAATCGTGTACAGATTCTCCATGTTTCCAAACAGGATGTCCGTGTCGAACACACTCTACAATAAAGTGTTAGATTGGTTACAGAAAAGAGAATACGAAACAGATTATAAACGGCTTATTGCTGCCACGTAGATCTACGGGGTACCATTATTGCATGGAAATGCCCATTTATGTTTCCCATCTACTGAAGTACTGACACCTGGTACTTTCTTATCAGGAAAAGTAAAGTTACAAAAGGATAACATTTCCTTGAACGTTCTCCTAGGTAAAGACGGCTGAGTAACAGTACAAGGCGAGCAAAATAACTTTTGGTTCAACTTTGATCTCAGTCGTTCTGCTTTTCACCCTAGATGTCACTCGATTACTTGCACATTGGCCTTCCCAACATGAGCTACAGTGTTGGTTGTGGGTTTGATTGCCGGCGCCCGCGATGTCCATGTGCTGCACCCTTCAAAGATGCATCTGCGATTGGTCACCTGACCTTATTTCAGGAGGCAAATGCGACAATTTGAGAGGAACTGAGCATTTCCCTCGCCATGTCGAGCTCTTTGAATCTCTTTCCCTGCATGCCCCTGTGATCGGAATTGGCCATGGGCTACATTTACCTTTTACCTACACACTTCCTCATGCTCAGTCCTGAAAGGCAAAGAACAGCTTCTGAGAGCGGGCTATAAATATGACTTACCTGCGAACGAAGTGGAATCAGGTAATCGGTGATGCATCTTCTCAACTCTTCAACATACTTGCGTTCGGCGGTCAGCAACTCTTGAAGTATTTGGTACCGAGGATGGGGCAGGCCCCTGAAATGCAGCGGACCGATATCAGGTGTATCTGGGCAGAATCATGCACAGTGCACAATGCACATTTGGTGTGAAATGCAATGCGATGTGCTGATCATCATTTTATTTTAAAAAAATAGTTCAGGATTTTCCGAAGGCCATAGCCTATACATGATCATGGTTTACATGTAGTTCTCCGTGTCTTTGGTGTAGTATATGTGTGTATCTGTGCGTAGCCACGTTCCTTTTACAGTAAAACCTTGGACTAACGACCACCTCTTGCGGCCAGAGAAAGCGGTCTTTAGTGGCAGGTGGTCCTTAGTTAGAGGTTTGTACCGCACAACCATGTGATATGAATGTTAGACCGTCCATGCCTGGCGAAGTGGTCTGTAGTACCAGGCTGGTCGCTAGTCACGGTGGTCTGTAGTACCAGGCTGGTCGCTAGTCACGGTGGTCTGTAGTAGCAGGCTGGTCGCTAGTCACGGTGGTCTGTAGTAGCAGGCTGGTCGCTAGTCACGGTGGTCTGTAGTTACAAGTTTAACTGTAGAAAGTGTAACATGAATACAGTGTCTTTCTAATCAGAGTGAACGTGAACTTTTAAAACGTTTAATTCAGAGTTGCGGGAAGAAAATTTGGGTCTCTCCTCTTTTTTCCTTTGTGTCATGCGTTCTGCCCTAGCTCAGGGCATAGAGAACTATTTGCAGCCAGGACCCAGGACACTTGAACAAATGCGATTATTATAGAAACAATGCAAGAGATATTATAGGACAGCACTCAATTCCCTTTTGAACACACCAGATGATTGCGATAGGTGCTGGGTATCCGTAATAGTGGTGTGAGGTTTCTTAGTTTAATGATTGTACATATATTTGAATTTTCAATACAAAAGGAGGAAGATTGCTGAACAACATTGCAGCATAAGGTAGGACAGAGGGCTAGATGATTTAGTCTCGGTCGTCTCATGTCGGCTGTACTGCTCCCTTTCCTCTGTTCTTTACCATGGTATTGGTGCACCACCACACTTCTTATACTTTCTTTCTACGCCATGGCTGGCAAACGCTCCCTCCTCATCTACTGTATATTGGCATTGACTCATCTTTAGCCACTGGAAGGTGTAATAATGATAACAATAATAATAATTCTCGCAAACCCGAACCATCAAGTATGCCCAGAATGAGTTACATGGTGATGAATGGAATGCGGAGGTGCTGATTGGATGTACATGCACCAATGAGCCTCGGAGCAATACAATAATGCTTGGGTGTATCTTCCACCCTGGGTTGTTCCAGTATCGCCACTACACGAGCGGGAACGTTCACCTCAACACCCACACACCATACGCGCACGCACACACACACACACACACACACACACACACACACATACACACACACACATACACACACACATACACACACACATACACACACACACACACAATGTCACATACACACACATACACATACACACACATACATGTACAAACACACATACATGTACAAACACACATACATGTACACACATACATACAGGCTCCATGTGCCTGCCTCTTACCATCAAGATGCTCCGGTTCTGTCTGGAATTCGAAACTGTACATAACACCATCCAACGGGATACTGTTATACAGGTGGGGTGAGCAGGCCACAATCTCTCCGTCCTGTAGGGAAGAGCACGAAGAATGAACACATTCAAAGCCGCACCACACCAACCAAATGCATTCATCTCGAATGGTAAGGGAACTATCATGACCAGCATAAAGTGATGAGGATAATCATTGTTTTTTTGTTTTTTGTCAGTTTTCCATCATGGTGATCATGGTGATCATGATGATCCCCACATCATTCCGTATCCTCTAGAAGACCCTTGCCTTGGGCTGTTGAAGAGGACGGAAAGCATAATTATATCATTATTAGTGTTTGGAAACGTGTCGACTACTAGTAGTAGTGTAAACACGTGTACCGGTAACCTAAGTAATCTCCACGACTAAACCATACTACAGCAGCACTGAAGACAAGTCCACCTAGAATAATGGAAGATATACATTATTATAGCACAACGGACTTTCATTTTCTTCCTCCTTTCAGTTCCCCGTATGGTATAGTTTCAGTTCCCCGTATGGTATAGTTCCCCGTATGGTATAGTTTCAGTTCCCCGTATGGTATAGTTTCAGTTCCCCGCATGGTATAGTCCCACGCTCTAGCTATGTGTCCAGGTTTAGGATTTGTTTACTACGGTTTAGACAGCGCAAGACTCAGTTATCCATCTGCGCGTCGGTCTCTCACTCTATTGGCTTTTTGCTGGCCTGCGCTGTTCGTCCCTCGCCCCTCTCTGTATCGTGATTGTTCACTGCTTATGTTGCTCTGTTCCCTGTCACACTAATGTAGCGTAGTCTTACCAGAAGTGAAGGTGCTGATATGGACGGTTTTCTATTCCAGGGCAACTCATCTTGCACGCCTTCCTGCGTACCGGTACCAGTGGTCTTCTTTAGGTGTATTGTGGCGTAGGGTTGACACATAGTCTCTGAACGACTGAAATACTTCTGCCTTCGTTCAGCAGCTGATGGAAGTGAAGATGTCGGCACCGATGCCGATATTGGGGTAGTCACGTCAGCATCCTCCTCAGACAAGCTTGAGCTTATGTAGGAGGTGAAGGTGGAGGGACTACCTCGCCGCCTCCTTACCTTGAGAATGCGATCCATTTTCATCCGGCCTATTTTAACCCGGGCCCTGTGGAATAATGTGCAGCAGAAGTTCGTGGCCAGATCTACGTCTCAACAACAGTGGTAAGCAAACCTCCTCTCAATCACTGGCAAATGTCTTACGTAGCCGACCAGCACTGTATCACTGGGCTGTGATTTTGAACATCCCGATCAAACACCGACGTTCTAGTGCCTTCTTCACCTCACCTCCAAATCATCCGCGAGCGAGTACCGTTGTTCAATGAACCAGCGCACCTGAGCGTGTAAGTAATTAGTTGTATGCTATACGAGCAACATAGACAACATCAGCAGATGGCCGAAGAATACTCCAGGCCCGTGGATATCGCACAACACTCCGTCACATGTGTTACTTGCTGGTGTCGACAGAAAGATATTTCAGAGACCCATATCCCTTTCGCAGCTGAGCCACACTAAGTCGAAGAAGACTGAAGTAATAGTAACAGTTACTGTTGTTGAATAAGAATCATCTATTTATGGAAGGGAAATCCCAGCTTGGTGCTTGCCATTGGGCCTACTTTATTAGTAAAACACACATATCCGTAGATGCCTCGCTCTCACAACTTTCTTCTTTGAGGGCCAAGATTATTCGATGTGACAAACATCGCTAGGGAGCAGGTAAGACGTGTACGGATTGATTTCCTTGTTTGAATTGAATGAATCGCGTGTCGTGCATGCGAGACAGCGTGATTGTCAAGTCACGATTCTCCACATACATTGTCATTGTAGGTACCCGAAGGCCTAGGCCAAGGCCTAGGGCTAAGTAAGAAAACTTCCCAGCACACCCTGGTGTCCTGCGATAGCTGTAGCTGTGCATATGCCATATCAAAGCCAACACAACTGACAGCCAAGCTAAAAGGCGATGATGCATCGGACACCCTAGCTAAGCTTTGCATCCGCCTTTATTTGTGTCACGCCGTGCATAGCACTGACTAGGCTGTAACTATTTTGGCATAGGCCCAACCTCCCCCACTGGCGAGTGAACAACACGGGTTGACAAGTTTGACACGCAAATACTGTTACAAGGTCAAGCTCAGTCAGTCCATATTTTGCATTATTTTGCAGCATTGCATTACCGCTACTGGGGCTTGGCTTGTCACGCACCGACTTATGTACTCTTGACGTCTTGTACTCGAATATCAGGCGGACAGCATCCTGTAGTGTCTAGCCATGTCTAGTAGTAGTACTAGTAGTGTAGACATCAGCTCGCCCGTCATCCATTTACGATTCATTGCGCCACAGCCTAGAGCATGCAGGTATTCGGTATTTCGTATTAGACCCCCGGGGAACGACTAGCCGACTGCCTTCAAGACGCTGTAACTCGATTTCAAATAATTATTTCGTGTCTCTAGTTTGTCGCCCATGAGGGACTTCTTCAGGGATGGGAGCAAGACAGTACTTTCGGTAGCCTAGGTATGGTTCGGTTACAGGTGCGACCATGGAGCGGCCGTTCTCGAGTTGTGCACCACAACGGGCGCTTCTACAGCAGCAGAAGATACACGCTATTTTAAATAACTAAACAGCATACTTTCAGCCAGGAAGCTCAGGGTTCCGAGGCCGCCCGAGAACAACACTCCCGCGATCCATCAACAACGACCTGAAAAATTCCAGATCAACAAACTCCCTCACATCACACGAGGATCTAGTTGCACTGAGGCAGCTCGCCCAGGATCGTCGAAAGTGGAAGGAACTAATGTGTGCTGTGTGTAATGGCTGAAGTTATACAATTACACTAGATACCCTTAACAATAATAACGGATACAATTACACTAGATACCCTTAACAATAATAACGGATACAATTACACTAGATACTCTAGATACTAGATACTCGGTACTCTAGATACTAGATACTCTAACAATTTTATCAAACATTATGATAATTACCACATCAAATGCTGCGGAGACCTATCCAGAATCGGCAATATGCTGGCCCTGGCCTGGAGATCTGCAACTATAATCAGCTTCTACTTTGCAACACTAACGGATTAGTCCCCTTTGTCGATTGATGGATCAATCGGTAGATTCGGCTCTGTTTTTCTTTCCTTTCTTTCTTGTTTTGAATTGTACGTTGAACTCATTGGATTTCTTTGTATTCTGTATCCAGGCCCGTAGCAGCCCCATTTTGGTTGGTCCGGCAAGATCCGACCTCGATGCCCCCCCCCCCCCCCCCCCCCCCAAGCCCACACTCATACATATGCCGGTACATGTACAAAATCATCACGGTACATGATTGTGCGTGTATGTGTATGTAATCGTGACCATGCAGAGTGACATATGGCGAGAAAAGGAAGAAGGATCTTCTGCATGAGTCAGGAAAAAGGGCATCAGCATGTTGTGTCCATCCAAACAGAACTTATTGAAGCCTATGAAGGCATAGCAACAGTATCTAAATGCATGTGATACAAGTACCAAAATGGATCTTTGGAGGAGGAGAAAGGACATTGCAATAGAATATCTTTGTTACAAAGCGGATCTAGAAAAAATTGGGGGGAAGAAAAGAATCCATACATTTCAGGAAGTACAGAGTAGGAACATTCACAGACATGACTGTCCAGTACTCCAAGGCATGTACATGTACATGTAACGATCATGTCAACTATTACTTGCAAAGAAGTGCAGGAAGTGGGCACAGGAAGTGGGCACATCCACAACTAACTTATTTGGCACAAGCCAGTGGTGAAAAGTGATAATAATTACTAGTATATTATCGTCAGCAATGATCAGATGTAGTACATAGTCAGTAGCAGTTCACAATGCACTGAAAAGGCATGTGACATACATGTACATGTTACAAGATACCGTCACACGTATACCAGTAATTTATAGTGAGTCTGTGCATGTAGATCTACGTGGGTGTTGTCCTGTGCTGTGACCTCCTGCCATGCCATTCCTCCTGCCATGGTACATGTACATGACATCAAGAGTATGTAACCCCCCTCCCGGTTTATACACTTGATATCATGTACTACCTCTACTTATTGCACACATCATCATGGGTGGACATCCTGAGCTGCGCACATAATGTGTGAGCTCCCCCTTTTTTTTTTTTTTTTTTTTTTTTTTTTTTTTTTTGCCGAACATTGGTCCGGCAGCTGCCGGACCTGCCGGACCGCCTGCTACGGCCCTGGTATCTCGTTATCGTTATATTTCCCTCTAGCCCTCTCGCTTAGGATGAGCTTTCTTTTTTATGGCAGCTTAAGCGAAGGCTATATACCTGCTTTATGCAGGTTGATGCCAACGCGAACAAGCAAAATAATAATAATAATAAAACAGCTCACCAGATCAAGGTGTGGGTCCTCTGCACTCAGTAGAGTCAAGTCGAGCGAGCTGCAACTCCCGGTGCCGAAAGGCGCGGGCTAACGCCCCTACATGGCTACTTCCCCTTGTCTAACCCCCAAGACGAAAATGATAGTAGCCGACTGGCCAAAATTAAAAAAAAAAAACTAAACTATTACTTCCTAAAGCACAAAGGAGACTTTCATACTACAGTACAGTAGTAGTACCGGTACGTGTAGTACATTGCCGGCAACTGAAATCCGACCCCTCAGTCGTGCGCTCACATCGCAAAGACCCAACAGAGGATGGTAAAACTACGAAACAGAGACTGAACCCACTGCTCAGGGGGTCGGATTTCAGTTGCCTGCACTGTGGTAAGTATAAAAGTACACATGTATCTACTCAGCGCGATTCCAAGTGGCTGACCCAAGGTTAGTTAGTCGCCCTCAGCTCCGACATCTCACTTCCGGTCATTGGTGACACATGATGCGCATCTAGGGCATTCTTTACCAAATACAGCGGAACTTGACAGATTGGGTAGAGTGCTCAACATCACAAGGATAGAGAGCTATACCACAAAGGCAAGAGGAAAACATTGACAATCGGTTTTAAAATGAATACTGAATAGTCAACGAGACGAGTAAAAAAGCAATGAACACGGTAAGATAAAATATTCTACTTGAAGATAAAAGTTTACTAACAGCTATGAAAAGTATGAATTCCGCAGACATCACCACGAAACATGACACTTTGTTCGAGTTTTGAAATTGTGTAACATCGCGTACCTCATTGTGCCGTATGGAGGGAAATTTCCCAGTTGGGCACGAGAGGCTGTGTGATACCATAAATGCAGCACCGCAAACACATTGACTGGGCAGACAAGGAGGGCGCCAACCATACCGCAAGCTTAGGCTTGATTTGCCCTTCGACAGGGCAAATCCGTGTCTTCGGGATGGTCGGCAGGTGAGCCAACTAAAACTTGACGCTCCCTTTTCTGCTGCTACATTGTAGATCTAGGGCGTACAAATCTTCTCAACCTAACATGTAGCTGTTCCGTCAGAGCAGTGACTCGTTGCGGAGCATTATTGCGGATTGCCACCTTGACATTTGCTTTGATGGAGCGCGTAGCGGTGGCCGCGTAATATCTATGGAGTCTTGGTGTTGTCGTTTCAAGGACTGCGGGTCCAAGATTGCAAGACCACCATCACGACATGGCATGCAGGGAAAGGATGGCTCGTTCCTGATGGCCAGGTGGGTGTCGGCCTGTCAATGCAGCGGAACTAGTACCGTAGTAAACCTTAGTGGCCCTTTTGTGACCCTCGACTAACGCCTGGCGGATTTGCTGGTCCCGTTCACTTCCATCCGATCAGCAACTCCTCGTGGTATGTTCTCCGCGTTACCTGCCTGGCGAGCTAGGACTCGTTTGTTTGTCTTCTTACCTGTGGCATCAGCTTTTGGTCGAACAGCGGCTACATGACGTGTTGTATTTCTTGGGACTAGCACAGGTTGCGTTTCGCCTTCTCCTTTAGTGGACCAATTCTACAAGGCGCAGTGAAAGGCAATTCGTTGCCGAGGACAAGCACAACTAGCAGTAACTGTTCAGTGTTGCGGTGCACTTTCCAGCGCAAATAATAAAGCAATCTATTTCCATTGGAGTGTGCATGATCGTAAAAGCACAATACGGAGACGAATGGAAACGAGAATGGTTTGACATTGCGTGTAACAGTATTGAGCGACACTCAGAATAAGACAACCAAACTAAACTACATAATATAAGCAGAGAACTATGGATCAAAGCAACACAGCTTCCAATCAGCAAGAGCGGCGGGATGAGGTGAAAGCTTAGCACATAGATCAGAAGACTGAAGAGAGCGTGTTGACAGGTGCTAGTGTTAGTGTTGAACTAAGAAGTAAGGACAGGTGTTACTGTTAGATGCGTACAGGTAGTGTTGTAACTGTCGTATCCGGGGTTGCACCCCAAGGCTGCGGTCGTCGACATGAACTAACTTACTAATAAACCTTCACATTACAAGGCCGTGCAGTGGTGGCCACTTGAAGAGAGTCCACCAACAGAATTACTCTTACGCACGCACGCACATATACCTGGACATACTCTCACACACACACTCAGGCATATACAGACACGTACACTCACACCAGCGTTCAGGTTGACTCACATCTTCAAAAAGAGCTAACTTGGTTCAAGAGACGATAATTATTGAGAGCACAAGGCAAGAGAGACGAAAG